TGGAATGCTTCTTTCAGAAGCTCTTTTAAAGCAGGCCTGGTGGTGATGAAATCTCTGAGTGCTTGCTTGTTCACAAAAAAATTTATTTTTTCTTCATTTATGTAGCTTAATTTGGCTGGATATGAGATTCTGGGTTCAAAATTATTTTCTTTGAGGATATTGAATATTGACTCCCACTCTCTTCTAGTTTGTAGGGTTTCAGCTGAGAGATCTGCTGTGAGTCTGATAGGCTTCCCTTTATGGGTAACCTGACCTTTCTCTCTAGTTGCCCTTAGAATTTTCTCCTTTATTTCAACCCTGGTGAATCCAATGATTATGTGTCTTGGGGTTGCTCTACTTGAGGAATATCTTTGTGGTGTTCTCTGTATTACCTGAAGTTGAGTATTGTCCTGCTTTACTAGGTTAGGAAAGTTTTCCTGAATAATATCCTAAAGAATATTTTCCAGCTTGGATTCATTCTCTTCATGACATGCAGGTACACCTATCAAACATTTATTAGGTCTTTTCACATAGTCCCATATTTCTTGGAGACTTTGCTCATTCCTTTTTACTCTTTCTTCTCTAATCTTGTCTTCTCGTTTCATTTCATTAAGTTGGTCTTCAACCTCTGATATCCTTTCTTCTGCTCAGTCAATTCAACTGTTAAAATCTGTGCATACTTCACAGTGTTCTCGTATTGTATTCTTCAGTTCCATTAATTCACTTATATTCCTCTCTAAATTGTCTATTCTTATTAGGATTTCATCAAACCTTTTTTCAAGGTTCTTAGTTGCTTTATATTGGGCTAGAAGATGTTCTTTTAACTCACAGCATTTTCTTATTATCCACCTTCTGAAGCCTAATTCTGTTAATGGAATGCACTCATTCTCCATCAGGCCTTGTTCCTCTTTTGATGAGGAACTGTGATCCCCCGTAGAGGGAGAGGCATTCTGATTTTGGGTATTCTCAGCCTTTTTACTCTGGTTTCTTCCCATCATTGTAAATTTGTTGACCTGTCGTTTTTGTAATTACTGACTTTCAAATTAGGTCTCTGAGTGGATGTCAAACTTGTTGATTCCCAGTGCCAGAATCTGAGCAACCCACTGCACTGGCTGAAACAGCAGCGTTAAGATTCGTGGTCCTTTTCTGCCCAGGAATCTCCAGTCTGGCTTCCCTCTTGAGTCCCTTTTTCAATCAGCTGAATGGGTGACTCTGCCTTCCCAGAGCTCCAAATGTTGACCAGGAGGGGACCCAGTCCCATTTACTCTGCACCAAGAACCACCGTGTGGGCCACAAGAGTAGCGCTGGCGACCGACCCGTGGGGCTCCTCTGCTGTGCATCTTCTGGTCCATGAGCAACAAAAATTCATCTGAAAGTGTGGTGTCCTCTCATTCTCAGCTTTCACTGGGAGCTACAATCCTAAGCTGCTAGTAATCAGCCATCTTGGATCTCTCTCCCTAAAGCATAATATTTTAAATGAATTTGTACAGTATATTCTGAACATTTTATCACTACTAATAATGTTGATATTAGGTATAAAGCATTCCCAATTCTGAAAAACTAACAAAGGGACTTTGAAATTCAATCTATTAAGGGCATAAAATTCTCCAATTTAACTGGTATTTTCCATCTTTACTGCAGAGTAGAGTAAAGTTAGTTAAATATTGTTAAATCGTCACACTACTCACAGCAACCTACAGATTCAGTACTAGTCCTATCAAACTACCAACATCATTTTTCACAGAATTAGAAAAAAATACTCCAAAATTCATATGGAATCAAAAAAGCGTCTAAATAGCCAAATCTATCCTAATTAAAAAACAAAAACAAAAAACAAAGCTGAAGGCATCATGTTACCTGACATCAAATTCTACTATTAGGCTATAGTAACCAAAACAGCGTGGAACCGGTACGAAAACAGACAGATAGACAAATGGAACAGAATAGAGAACCCAGAAATAAAGCTACACACCTGCAACCATCTGTTGTTTGAGAAAGTTGATAAAAATACACGAAGGGAAAAGGACTTCCTATTCAGTAAATGGTACTGAGATACCTGGCTAGCCAGATGAGAAGAATGAAACTGAACCTGTACTTATCACCATATGCAAAAATTAACTCAAGATGGACTAGAGATTTAAATATAAGACCTCAAACTACAAGAATCCTAGAAGAAAACCTAGAAAACAGCATTGTGGACATTAGCCTCAGAAGATAATTTATGGCTGAGTCCTCAATAGTGATTACAACAAAAAAAAAGTTGACAAGTGGAACTGAATTAAACCAAAGAGCATCTGCATAACAAAAGAAACTGTCAACAGAGTAAACAGACAACCTACAGAATGGGAAAAAAATATTTGCAAGCTATGGTCTAATATGCAGAATCTATAAGGAACTTAAATAATTGAACAAGTAAGAAACACATAAGCCCATTAAAAAGTGGGCAAAAAAAAAAAATAAACAGACACTTCACAAAAGAAGACATACATGCAGCTAACAAACATAGGAAAAAATGGACAACATCACTAATCATCAGAAAAATGTGAATCAAAACTACAATTAAATACCATTTCATGCCAGTCAGATGGCTGTTGCTAAAAAGTCAATATGTAGCATTCTGGTCAGGTTGTGAAGAAAATGGAAACTTTATACACTTTCATGGGAATGTAAATTAGTTTAGCCACTGTGGAAAGCAATTTGGAGATTTCTCAAATAACTTAGAATTACTATTGAACCCAGCAATTCCATTAGTGGGTGTATATACAAAGGAAAAGACATCATTTTACTAAAAAGAAACATGCACTCGTATGTTTATTACAGCCCTATTTGCAATAGCAGAGCAATGAAATCAACCTAGTTGCCCGTCAGTGGTGGATTTTATAAAGAAAATATGATAAATATACACCATGATATAGTACATAGCCATAAAAAAGAACAAAAGTTTTCCTTCTCAGCAATATAGATGCAGCTGGAGGCCATTGTCCTAAGCAAACTTACACAGGAACAAAAAATCAAAACTGCATGTTCTCACTTCTAAGTGGGAGCTAAACACTGAATACTCATGGGCATAAAAATGGCAACAATAGATACTGGAAACTACTAGAAGGAGGAGGGAAAAGGTGGACAAAGGTTGAAAAACTACTGAGTACTATGCTCAACACCTGGGTTACAAGATTAATTATACCCCAAATCTTAGCATCACACAATATACTCGTGTAATGAACCTGCCTATGTACCCTCTGAATCTAAAATAAAAGTTGAAGTTACATTAGAAAATGTTGTGTGAAAATCGGAAGAGACGAATGCTCAATTTGGGGAACAATTAGGATGAAATTCAGAAAACATTTCATTTGCAATTGGGCAGAGTGTACTAGGTGCTGGGTACACATTATTAGAACAAAAATAGAACACCCTACAAGATCCCCTACTTTTATATAACTTACATTTCAGTGGTGAGGATAAATTATAGTGAATAGAGAATAGTAGATAGTGTCCTCGGCTTTTACTAGTATATAGAAGAAATCCTCTGAAAGCCTGTGCCCTTACCAAAAATGAAATCTCAGATTTTTAAAAGCCTTATTGCTAGACTCATAATACATAAATCTCAGTCTTCCCGGCTGCCCCTCACCTGCAATAGCTACGAGTGATGAACAAATAGAAAAGATGAAGATTTCAATCCTGGAAGTTAAGCCTTGGATCAGTCTCAAAGTCTGTGAGATGAACCTGAGATTGCTGCATTTATCTGGGGACCCTCTAATGATAATCAGGTGATCCCGATTCAGTAACATTACCACCTTCCCCCGCAAAAAAGCAAAACATAACTTGAAGAAAATCTCCATAATCTAGGGCCTGAGGAGTATCAAAGATTAAAATCTAACAAATATGAGCTCATAAATGAAGATCACCAAACCCTCAGGGATTTCGTTGCCATAACAGGAGCAAGAATACAAAGTCAATTTGAGATTCGGGGATTTCAAATATTGAAATGATCAAACTACAACATAATTATACATGAATTATTTATTGAAGTGAAGATAAAACTGTACAAGTGACCAAGCAATTATGCAAAAGAACTGAACAACATTTTGAAATGAAAACGATAAATGTAAAGACAAAAACCTTTAAAAAATGCATTAAAATCAGATTCAGCTGAAGAGAAAATTTCTGGATAGGAAACTCTTCAAAATGCAGGAGAGGGATAAGAATACAGAACATAAAAATAGGAGAAAGATGGGCTGGGAGCAGTGGTTTACTCCTGTACTCCTAGCACTTTGGGAGACGGGTGAGAGGATTTCTTGTAGCTAAGAGTTTGATACCAGCCTGGACAACTCAGAGAGAACTGGTCTCTACAAAAAAATTTTTAAATTACCCAGATGTAGAGGTGTTGACCTGTGGTCTCAGCTACTTGTGAGGCTCAGGGTGGGAGGATCACTTGAGCTGAGAGGTCAAAGCTGCAGTGAGCCATGATCACACCACTGTACTCCAGCCTGGGGAACAGAGAAAGACCCCACCCCCTACCCTCCCACCCCTCTCTCTCTCTCTCTTTTTCTCTCTCTCTCTCCCTCTCCATGATCATGCCACTGTACTCCAGCCTGGGGAACAGAGAAAGATCCCCCACCCTCCTACCTCTCTCTCTCTACGTGTGTGTGTGTGTGTGTGTGTGTGTGTGTGTGTGCGTGCGTGTGTGTTTGAAAAAAAGACTTTAAAGAGTTAAGGAGTATTAGAGAGAGTAGAACTAAAAGTTGTAAAACACACTTTAAGTATACAGTTGCTTTATCAGGTTGGTGTTAGGTTCATGACTATGCCAACTGTCAGGTTCACAGTTAGGTTACAGCCCATGCTGAGGTTTGAGGGGAGTGGGCGGATGGGCCAATAGCTAAAAGAACACCTGGGGGGCCGTAGGCAGGTGAAATGTAGCTTTATTCAGCAGCTCTCTCATCAATACTGTCTGCTCTGTCTGGGCTGCTTGCTCCGGCTGATCCCTAACACACAGCTGTGGGGTCAGCTATCCTTGAGCTTACCTCTTTCTCACTCTGGGCACGAGCGAGCAGAGCTGTGTCCTGGCTTCCTCTTGTCCACTGGCAAGATGGGTAGCTTTGGCTCTCTCTTCTCTCTCTCTTTCTGGGCACAAGCATCTGCACAAGAGCACCTGTACAGCATCAGCGGGGCAGTTATACCTTTCCAAACAATAGTGGCATTGAGCCAAGTATGAGCTTACCCGAACAGGTTATATGACAAGTGGAGGCGTGCCCCTGTGCACCTATCCCACTGAGTTGTGTAGGCCTGGATGTCTGCCTTGGCCTCATTCCCAACCAAAGCACATCCATGTACCTTTCAGGTGGAAGTAGCAATTATACCAAAGAAAATAAAATAGGCTGTAATCTAGTATTATGGTTACTTAACTTTATAGAAGAATAACAGACAGAAGATGCAGTAAGTAGAAAAATTTCAGCTAATCAAAAGACACCAAAGCTATCCAAGTCCTAAGGTACATGGGAGCTACATAGTAGCTGCAGCCTCTATTTCCCATCAACCTTGAATGTTATTCTAGCTACCCAGTCCCCAGCCTGCATGCCAACTGGGGGACTCCCACAATCCTTGTGTAGGATCCACATTCATCACTGTTTTAACTCTTTGCAAAGTAGCAGTGCTGTCGGACCAGAAGGAAATTTTCAAAAGGGCTCCATTAGCTAAGGCCTGATGTTAACCACTCACACATGTATATTTAATTGGAATTTTAAGAAGAGAAAATAAAAATAATAGAAGTAACTTTTAAAGATAAAAATGCAGAAAACGCTTTATAGCTAATGGAAGGATTCACGCAGACTTTATAGACAGTGCCTCTATTATGAAAAAGAAAAACAAATGGGGCCAGGCATGGTGGCTAATGCCTGTAATCCCAGCATTTTGGGAGGCTGAGCTAGGCAGGTCACAAGGTCAGGAGTTCGAGACCATCCTGGCTAACACAGTGAGACCCCATGTCTACTAATAATAGAAAAAAAATCAGCCAGGTATGGTGGCATTTGCCTGTAGTCCCAGCTACTTGTGAAGCGGAGACAGGAGAATTGCTTGAACTCAGGCGGAGGTTGCAGGGAGGCTGAGATCCTGCTGCTGCAATCCAGCCTGAACGACAGAGCAAGACTCCGTCTCAAAAAAAAAAAAAAAGGAATTAATACCTAGGCAGATAATGAAACTGGGAAACACCAGAGAATAAACAAAGTCTACAAATACAGCTAGAGGAAGGAAAAATTCTCTTGAAAAAAATGTCAGAAAACCAAACAGTTAAGTAAATCTATCTTTGAACTATTTTTCTGTTGAATTAATCCACCTGTTTGTCTACATTGCCTTAATCAATCTACCTTCCTAATAAGTCTTGAACTTATAATAAGTATATACATCCTTCAACTTTGTTCTTTTTAAAGATGACTTTGGACATTCTGTATTAGTTTTGAAATAGGTTGCTACTGTTTACAAAAAAAATATTAAAATAGAACACAAAAATCAACGGACACTTTTGAACTCTATTCGATTAGTATATTTAAAAGATTACCCTGGAGTCTATGTAGGAAATGAATTAAGGAAAGCAAGAAAAAAGTGGGAAGCCCCATTTGGAGATGATCACAGTGGCTGTGAAATGGTAAACAGTGAATGGCTTCAGAAAGGCTTTATGGGAAGGGTGAACAGAACCGGCCAATGCATTGGACATAGGGGCAATAAGGGAAAAAAATGAAACATAAACTGCTAGTTTTTTTTTTTCTGCACTCAGTATGCCACTGGCATTTAGTGAGTTGAATTTAATGGGTGTTAAAGAGTGGTTTAGAGAATTTACAAAGTTAATTCAAATGTGATGTCACAGACAGAAATGTAAATTTTGGAATCATCTTACATACAAATGAAACATGCATGAATTGGATGTGATTATATAACATCTTCATGGTACTATATTGTTAAATTATTGGGAAAAAATGCTACATGCTCTTTGGGGGAATGATAAGAGGCTAAATGAATAAATCTGCAAAGTAACCTCTGAGTTGGGTTTAAGCACAGTGCTCTGTAATTATAAGGTCCTTTTCTTCAATCATCTCATTTTTGTGAACCTATTTAATCAGTCTGGATGTATAATAAGCCAAGATGTCTTGTAAGCCTCGTGAATAAATTTACCAAGGGTAGAAATCGTGTGAAATGTGTCTAAAATCTGAGATGCTAATGGATGGAGTGGGTAGCAAATTCCTAAATTGAAAAGAATTATGTTGAGGATGTAAAGTTGGCCTCAGCTGAATTGAATCACCAGGGCCCAAGTTACAAAATCTCATATACATATACTCATATACGTACTCAAAAAACAACATGTTAAAGAATGTTAACTTGAATGATTTCCCTAGAAGTAAGTTTTACAGCAAAAGACTGACAGATTATGCCTGTAATCCCAGCACTTTGGGAGGCCGAGGCGGGTGGATCACGAGGTCAAGAGATCGAGACCATCCTGGTCAGCATGGTGAAACCCCATCTCTACTAAAAATAGAAAAAATTAGCTGGGCATGGTGGCGTGTGCCTGTAATGCCAGCTACTCAGGAGGCTGAGGCAGGAGAATTGCCTGAACCCAGGAGGCGGAAGTTGTGGTGAGCTGAGATCGTGCCATTGCACTCCAGCCTGGGTGACAAGAGTGAAACTCTGTCTCAAAAAAAAAAAAAAGACTGACAGAAATTCAAAGTCATAAAATAAGATTATTTTCTAAAATCTTCAAAAGGAGAAAAAGACTTAAATCTTGTGACCCCATTTCCAAAAGGCTGAGTTTATATGAGTGTCACTAGATACAGGCAGGGAAAATTATATTATTCATTAGAGATAAATTATATAAGCATGTCTGCATACACTTTTCAAATTCCTACTTAAAGACATCATTTTGTAAACAGTCCAATTAATAAGCCTTTCTTCAATGCCTTCCTATTATCTGGGCTTCTAACCATTAGAAGTCTGATTATGAACATCTTTATGATCCTCTTAACTGTATATCACACAAATGCCATCAGTCATAGAAACAGCCTAGAAGCAAGAGCATTTCTGATAAATAATCCTCTAGGTGAAGTATTTTTCTGGTTCATTGGGCTAAGTTGTAAGGGAAAGAAAGAAGTTTAATAGGGCTATGTTCTCGTAGACATTTATAAAGGCCAAAAATAAATCCACAAATAATTATACTTTGGAGAGCTATAAAGAAACACTTTGATGCCTAATAAGGTCTATAGTTATAGAAGTGCCTCTGTAATATCATTTTCTGTTTGTAGAATTACTCAGTCACAAGACCTTTCCATAGAGAAGTTTCTGATAAAATACAAGTGGCTTGCCTCACCTGTGATATCTCTGAGAACAGTTTAACAACTTATGGAGATTTTCATGGAGCTGGGGAGATAGAAGAAATTATTTTGAATTTGGGCAATTCACTAAAAATTTAATTTACAGATATTTTATCCTTTAAATTCAGACTATTTAAAAAATAATGTTTATTTTGTTGCTATAGCACATACCAACTTATGTAGTATGCTCTGGTACTGGGAAGAACAGTGACAAAGATAGTGTCTGTCTTTGGGGAGGCTACCACTTATTTAGGGAATCTGCCATTTGGAAAGTTGAAAAATTCAAGATAACAAAGGCATTTCTCTAACTTTTGAGCATGTGGTTGACTCTGATGAAAGTCTACTCAATAACCAATCTCTCCTACTTCCTTTTTAAAAAAACTTAATATTATCTTGGTAATAATGTGCCCTGATGAAATACTCACCTTCTCAGATGACCTAGAAACTGAAAGTACCCAGTTGGCTCAGTTCTAGCCATTGGGGTACAAACAAAAGCATCTCCCATGAATATTCGAAAATGTCATCGTTTCAATGATGAACAGGAACAGATTCAGTTGGCAGCAGCTTTTTGCCATTTGCTCTTTATCTTCTTTCTGCCTAAAATGTGGATGCAACACCTGAAAATGGGAAAATTGTCACATGACTAGGAGAATAAAAGCCACACACCACAACGAGGCCTGATGAAAAGATGGAAAAATCTATTATGCTAATACCATCAAGCGGCCACATCACGCCTCTGGTCTGCCTATTTTTTGACTTCCTGTTACGTGACAAAACGTGTGTCCATTGGGTTAAGCTTTAGACAGCTGCATTCAAGCCTATCTGAAAAATTTCTTCTTAAAATTAATACATGGATATTGGCTTTAATCCTAATAAATTATTCTACCATTCACTGCCATTCTTCTCTGAGCACTCATCTCATTTACTATTTCACACAACAACCCTGTTGGGGTGAGGGATGTTATCCACTTTTCCAGATAAGAAATTTCAGACTCACAGAGCTCGTGTCTTTCTTGGGACCACATAGGTAGTTCATAGTAGGGATGATATTTGTATCTTCTTGTTTCATTATACCATCTTATCAAATTAATATGAGTAATATTAGTAGTTTTCTTAATATCTATTACCTAAGTTTATTTGCTGTTAAAAATAACTTTTTTACTTGTGGGATGTCTTACAATTCTATCATGTATTTTAGCTACAATCTCTTACTTGAAGTTCAAAATTCTATAAAGGAAATAAGATATTGTTGTTATTTATATTTTACAGCTGTGGAAGTTGAGTTTAGAAGCTGGGTTTCCCAAGAAAGGGAAGGAGGGAGAACATGCTTAGGTTATTTAACTCTGAATTTAATGTTCTTATAGGTCTAGTTCCACATTAAACTTATTTTCTTTCTTTCCCTGGTAAAGCTACCTGATTGGGAATGAACAACAACAACAAAAAAATGTTTTGGAAGCTGGGTCAATGCTTTGAGTATCAAATAATGTGTTGCTTCTGTCTGTGACTTCTATGGAATGCTGAACAGGACATTAAAGATAACTATTTCCAGAAGGCTTGGAGATCCTCCTATCCCAGAACCTCTACACTGATGAAATCTTGGGGCGCTCCTCTGTGTATATCCAACCACTAAATGCTGTGACACTACTAAACCATTTAGCAACTACTAAATGCTTTGATTAGAGTAATGCTTCCAGAATACTGAGGGCTGCCACAGTGCCAAGAAAACATACAAGTAAATGTTCCAGATGACACCTAAACAGGCTGTCTCAGTTACCGCTCACATATTTCAGGGTGAGCCTGAGATCTGCTGGTGGTCCGTCTCACTTTTTCCATTTTGCCAGCCGTGTTTGGTGGATTTGGAAAATGAAATATTTATGCACCATTTAAGGACTGCCAGTCTGATTACCACTAAACACCCTACGGAGGCACATTGTTGAATTAACAGGAAAGCTTTTATCCTGCCAACCTGCTGGGCGCCTTTCTCCAAGGCTGAGTCAACGCAGAGCAATGGTTCTATGATAGATTTGAAAGTGTGGAGGATGGGACTAATCTTTACCAGATTTATTGGGCAAAGGATGGCTTTTGGGTCTTCCAATTTTATGCATATATAATGCTGCATTACTCAAATTCAAGTATGATTGGTATATAGATTTTATTCAAAATCGTGAATTAAATAAATGTTATATATAGTATCCAAAAATTTTGGGTTGCTAAAAATGTACAGAGAGAGCTGAATTTCATGTAGTTTCTGAATAATTTGAAGGAGAGCACAAATTTAAATTAAGACATTCGGTTCATATGGAGTAAGGGCACACATTGGTTATGGCTTTCAGATTTACTTTCTACTTTTTCAGAAAATATATATTTTCTGTTGTTTCTTAGTGGGCACCAAAAGCATCTGGAGTCAGTTACATTTATTTATGTTCTATTCTAACTAAAATGGCTTAGCTGAAAGTATTTCAAAATTTATTTAAGGAAAAAGAAAATTGACTTTAGACTCACATGCCAGGCTTTAGCCCAAAGCAAAGTGCTGTGGCGGGTTTCTAAATAAAATGGAAACACTGACAGAATATTCTGGCAGTGATGTAAGGATAACAGGTAAATACAACAGTTTGAGCTAATAATAGGTAACATTTTCCAGGTTTTGCTATTAATAGTTTCTTACAACAAACAAGCTTTATAAAATTTATCTGAGAAAAGTTTGCTTATAAGATAAAAAGCCAAAATTTAGCCAATTTTCCATTATAATAAAATGGTATTTAATTTTCGGTTGTTTGTATATTGCTAGTTTCTTTTTGCAAGTTTCCCAGTATTAAAATATGTACATTTAGACTTTATCCATCTATTAATAAAAGGATATATAGCTCTTAATAAAATGAAAACATTTAATGATATATTATTACATATCCTTTTAATGTGACTCAGGTGTTTATGAGATCTTTTAAAAATTAGATCTAAAATAATAAAATATTCCTTATCTTATTGGTTTCCCATTTACTTCACCTTATAATATTCACTATTGTTCACATTTAATTTAAACTCTGGACCTGCTGACTTTCAAGTTTATATTTATTTTGAAATATAATTATAATAATTTATATAATTAGAAATATCCTTATAATGTATTTATTGCTTTGATCTGGTTGGTTTGGTCTGGTTCTTATTAATATTACCTGATGAAAAAAAATATTAAAACCAGTCAGGAGTTTGAACGATTGGGTTTGAAAGAGGGGAGACAATGTTTTGATCCTGGTTCTGACACACCTGAGCTTTTTTGGGTACTGTTACAGTTTTTTAAATGGAAGCTAAAATAGTAGCTAAATCAAAGAATAAACTTGAAAATTAAAATAGAGAAATGGATTAGCACAACTCCTGGCTCATGGTAGGTGTTCTGTAAAACTTGGCTTTAATCATTAAGTTTGTGATCTTTTTGTTGAAATAGGATATAGCATCATTTTCTCTCATGAAACACTAGTTATCCAATCACTATGAATCATTGAGTTCATCGCCATCATTTGGCTGTGCTGCTGCAGTTGTTATGAATTTCCATCCATCTAGGTTCTGTCCCTAGACTCCTTTTTCTGTGAGTTGTCCGCTGTTTTCAGGCATAGGCACAGGCCTGAAGAGAGCAAGTAATTAAACAATTTGGGGCCAGGCGCGTATTGGGGTCAGGTGCCATGGCTTAAATCTGTGATCTGAGCACTTTGGGAGGCTGAGGTGGGCAGATCACTTGAGGTCAGGAGATCGAAACCAGCCTGGCCAACAAGGTGAAACCCCATCTTTATTAAAAATGCAAACAAAAAAATTAGCCAGGCATGGTGGCAGGAGCCTGTCATCCCAGCTACTTGGGAGGCTGAGGCTGGTAAATTGCTTGGACCGGGGAGGTGGAGGTTGCAGGGAGCAGAGATTGTATCACTGCACTCTGGCCTGGGCAATAGAGCAAAAATAATAAAAGAAGGAAACAGAGAGAGAGAGAGAGAGAGAGAGGAAGGAAGGAAGGAAAGAATGAAGGAAGGAAGGAAGGAAGGAAGGAAGGAAGGAAGGAAGGAAGGAAGGAAGGAAGGAAGGAAGGAAGGAAAAGAGAAGAGAAGAGAAAAGAAAGAAAAGACAAGACAAGAAAAGAAAAAGAGCCTAGTGGTTCTTAATGGTCCATTTACTCTTACAAATACATGGTGGAATTTCCTTGTGTCAAGTTCTGTGAAGCTCCCTTTTGGAATTTGTATTGAATGTTAGAGTCTTAAATCAGTTTGGAAGCATTAACATCTTTTGAATTTTGATACTCTTTCCCATAAGCATAATTTTTTTCTGTTTGTTAAATATATTTTGCATATACATATTCTAGTATCACTTTCAACAATACTTTTGCATATTTGTATGAGTCATTTTATACATGTTAGATTTATTCTATCCATTTATTTATTTTGCTAAAGGTAAATTTTTGGGGGAGTTTCAAAAATAATATTGTATGAAAATACAAATGAATAGTATTAGTGTAGATAAGAGTCAAGAATTGTTTAATTAAATGGATATGTAACAAGAATAATAATTCCCCTTGCGTGTTTAATATTCATATACTACTCCAAGAAAACTTTTTAAAATTTACTCTAAGGTACATGGATACATATTTTTTAAAAATTCAAACACTTCAAGGTATATAGTTTTTATTATTTTAGCACTCTGTTTTACTCTCAGTTTGGATGTCCCACTTTGGATAATACATTATACAGTTGCCTTGGTTATAGAGCATTATCACAGCAACAATTAGTAGTGCTTTCTGAGTTTTATATTTGGTGTGTCGGACTTCCAGGACAAACTCACAGATTGAAGCAGTGACTATACCAAGGAACAGGTTGAACATTCCTGGTTCTTCAGCCATAGTACTCAGAAACCTAATTTTGTTTTCTCTTTTTCCTTCACCATTTCCTTGAAATTAACAAATGAAAATTGTATATATTTATCATGTAAAAAATATTGTTTTAAAACATGTATAAAATGCAGACTAGCTAAATCAAGTTAATTAGCATATGTATTACCTCACATACTTTTTGTAGGGAGAACACTCAGACTCTTCTTTCTCAGCACTTGTTAAGGATACAATACATTGTTATTAACAGTAGTTACCACCTTATATAATAGATTTCTTAAAATTATTACTCCTACTTACATTTTTTGTTTCTTTTGATCAACATCTTCACAATCCTCTCATTCCACCAGCCCTTGGTAAACACTAGTCTAGTTTCTACTTTTAGGATTCAACTTTTTTTGATGCCACTTATCAGTGAAATTATGCAGTATTGGTCCTTCTGTCTCTGGCTTCTTTTACTTACCATAAATAATATCCTTCAGGTTTATCCAGGTTGTTGCAAATGATGGATTTCCCTTTTTTTTAAGGCTGACTAGTATTTCATTTTATATAGATCTATAAGTAGATACTTACACACACATATATATACAGCTATTTATACATATACATGCATACACACATATGCATATATGTATGTGTATATATACATTCACATATATACACACGTACACACACACACACACACACACATATCATGATATGGCTTGGCTCTGTGTCCCCATCCAAATTTCATCTTGAATTCTACTCCCATAA